TTACAGGCTTTTTTTTTTTAAAAACAGAATTATGCCTATAATGCAGGAAGATGGAAAAGGGACAAATAAGCATTTTTTTAGAGAAAAAAATTAAACAGAATTATGCCAACAAACTTAACTATTTTACTGTAATTTAGGGTAATAAACCCCTCCTATTATACTGGAGTTGAGTAGCTTCTTGGACATGGGACTTTCAGTGTTAAAGTCCAGGAAATGTTAGATCTTCCTGGACAGATCATCACCATTCTTTCATTCAATATTGTTAGAATGGTGATGATGTGATTAGGAAGATATTTACTAATTTTATGAATTCTTTAACCTTAAAGTTTAGAAAATTCTAAGATATATTATTTCAGGAAAGTACTCCTATAGAATCCTAGTTTGATATTTTTAAAAATTCCTTTGAAAATTAAAGATAAATTGATTTTGTAGTTTTTTTTTTTTAAGATTTATTTATTTGTGCATACAGAACTGGGGTACAGCCCAGAGGCTCAGGGGTGGCGAGAGGTTTCACCATAGACAGAGTGGGGAGCAGAACAGGCAGAATGACTAAGTACACTGCTGAGGGGAGCAGCGGGCAGGTCAGGAGAGGTCTGCCACGCCAGGTGGTCACCTCTGGGGCAGGCGGGAATCAAGCTCATGTGGAAGTGGCTTTAGCTTCTCAGTGCTGTGCTTTAACCCGTTGCGCCATCAGGGAGGGCCAGATTTTGTAGTCATTTTTTTGAGTAAAACTCGAATTTGCCCTTTAATCAGATAAAAAAATGAACGAGCCAAGTTACATACTATTAATAACAAATGATAAGTTAAAAAATTCCTCCGTGTGGCATTTCTGATAAGATAAACATGAATGGCAATGATTTAAAAAGTAATAAAGAAGTAGGAAAATAGCCTTTTGTTAGCACTTAGTTTATCTGAATGGCTGCATATTTGTCTTATCAAATGGAGGCATCCTTTCTTATTTAGCAATAAATATAAATCTTTCTTATTTAGCAACTACATGTTTCTATCTTTGAAAATTTGTAATGTGAGAGAACATTACAGAAGATGTTTTTTTTCCCCTCCACACTTAAAGGCTTACACTTTTCTTTTTCTTTTCCTCATTCAAAAAAAAAAAAATCAAAAAATAATGTGATCAGGAATCTAATTACAGACTATTAACAGCTTGTGCTGGTGCTGATCTCTGTTTTGAACTCACTTTAGGTATCAGCCTACTTTTCTCAACAAGGGGGCACTTAAGTTAATTGCTTCATTAGAAACATGCATTTAGTTCTTTCTGATCTGTAAGTACAACTCTTTGGCTTAACTGCAGAAGTTTGAACACCTGCAGACCAAGCAGCTTGAAAAGAAGTCATAAATTGCCATAAAGGAAACTAAAAGAAGCTCAAGTTCAAAATGGTGTTTATCAATGATACAGTGTTGTCACTAACTTGAGCTGACCTAAGAGAGTTGGCTTCTAAACTGCTCCTTATCAGCATCCAAAAGGGCATACAAAATTCTTTGTAAACTAATTTAAAAAGTGTCTTGTTTATTCAGAAGCAACTGTGAATGGTATTTGTTCAGCGTGTAGTTCACATCAATTGCATACCAGCCAACAACTTATTTCTCTCTAAGAGAGAAGCCAAGTATCAAAGACACAAAGTACTAAAGATAAGCTTCTCAATTCTCAACTGTTCTGAGTTCTCAATAAAGCTACTCATGTACAAATGGGGTGGGACCCAACTGTTTCCACCTGCAGGCTTGTCTTAGATCCTTGCCTCTAGTTGGGAGAGGTACTGATACTACTGTGACCTTTAGTGCCCTTAGAAAACAAAACACAGGCTTCCTTATGGCCCTAATCAATCAGTCCCTATTAAGGGGATTCCAACCCCCAACCTTCCTTCAAGTGGTCTTGGGGGAAAAAAAAAAAAAAAAAAGCCATGCAAAGAGATCCTTCATTCATTCTTCCTGAATCTTTAAAGACATTCCAAGTCATCCTTTTTTTCTATTTCTCTGGTTGATTCTAGATATTTTGTGTTTGATATTTAATGAGAGTGACCTCAGCATGTAAAGTGCTTTTTAAATAGGTTCAAATGGTTCCTTATTAGGAAATTAAGGCTCAGTTGAAATAAAAACAAAACATTTCTGAGGCTACAGAAACACAAAACACTTATAGGATAGTGATTTGTCATTTGTCTAATATAAATATATATATTAATTGCTTAAACATGTCTCACAGGTAGTATCTGAACTTTCAAATCTTGGCCTTCTGAAACTAATAGAAGCTTTTAGATAAAATAATTTTTGTGATAAATATTTAGTGTTGATCAAAAATTTGGAAAATGTTTAAACATAAATATTCAAAGATATTAAAAATAATCTGATCCCTACATGTCTTCTTAATATTATTCAGAATAAGGCCCTTTGTGTTATTATGAAAATAAGATGAATTACTGACAGGCATATGGAATAGTGCATTTTAAACTAATCTGTATAATTTGAAGTTTGTAACCTGTTTCAAATATGGTAAAAAATAACCCTGAAACTGGCTGCTGTTTTACCATTATCATAAATGCTGCCTTTTCCTTTCATAAAGTTCTATTAATGTACATAGTCCTGATTCTTGAGCACACTTAAAAAGAAATGACCTCTGGATGCACATGAGTTTCTATATGTTTGTATATCAACTCCACGGAGGCAAAACATGGTCTTGATAAATAATTTCTGTTACTTGATTCTCAAAAAATTGTGGGGTTTGAGGTGCATTAAAATTATGAAAACCTCTTTGTGCCTTTTTAATGATGCATAAACAAATAGTAACACATTGTCCAGCAACTTTCAAATGTAAGGATTACAAAGAATGCAAATAATTTACTACATGTTGGTTGTGATGTCATTTTTTTTTTTTTTTTTTGAGTTGGGGGCCCTGGGTTCATTCTAGGAAGGTTTCACCAAAGCTCCCCTTTTGGGAGCACAGGGCGGGATTCTTCATGAGGCAGAGACTCAGTTATATTTAAAGAGTAAGTTTATTAGAAAGAGACAGGAGAGGAAAACGCACTTGCATAGGTGCAAGTGGGGAGGAAGTGCTGCCTGAAAGGGACAGGTTTGCAGAGAGAGAAGCCTGCATAGTTGCAGGCTGGCGGCCTAAGGAGAGCCGCCTCTGCTGGGGTGGTCAATGCAGAGAAGTCCCAGCATGATCATAGGCAGCCAAGCAGGCTGCTGCCCCACGGAAGGAGAGAGTGGGTGGGAAGAAGCACCTGCACAGTCACAGGTGGGCAGTGGAGCAGCTGCCCTGTGCTGGTGGAGAGACTGCCCTGATATAGGCAGTTTCTCTTAGGGAGTGGTTCACTCCTTGTGAGCCTGGGTAGAACTTGAAAGGATCAGAGATTTCCTGATGAGCTTCATCTTCATTTCCTTATCTTTTACCTTTTGGGTCTGAGTTTCAGGCACAGCCCCCAATAGTCTGTTATCTGCTGGGACCTCTTGGAGACATCCAGGCATCCTGGACATCCTGTACATTGGGCTTTGGTGCCTGAGGACCTTGATTTTATGGCTGTGTCAATTGCTTCACTAGCTCCTTCTATCTGTCCTCTTTGTGCGACTCAATCTTGTGATGCCTCCTGTGCATTCCTCCCTCCATCATTTGTATTAACTAATCTGAAAGAAAGTAGTCACAGGCGGTAAACCAGTTCAATACTAAGCACTTCTAGGAAAATGCGACCTCAGTGTAGAAAAAATTTTTGAGTAAAACATAAATGATTATTTTTTACAGTGATTGTGAGGAAGTCAAAATCTATAAATTTACATATTTTAATGATGTTAATATCTTATCAACATGACTATGTTTGTTTTATAACTTTGTAATTACCAGAAAGAATAATTTTCTAGAAAACTACATAGAAACTAGAATTATTGTTAATTTATCACTTGGTGGGATCTTACGTTCCTAATTTTAGATTTTTTTTTTTCATTTATTATGGACATTTTCTCTGCTACCTTATCTCATAGCACAGCAATGGCATACTATAATTAAGGATCCCTACCAACCCACAGGAGCTAAAGATCTATAAGTAAGTTAGCCTTGTTTTGTGTAACAATGTGAATTTCTTTTATTTTCAGTTCCTAATGATAAAAATGTGCTTTATTTACGAAAACATAATAACTTTAAATTGAGAAAACAAATTCAAGATTCAGATTTAAATGTTACTCTTGTTAAGTAATTATTAACCAATTTGTAAATTAATGTTAATTAAAATTTTCTATTTTTGTAGCATATTTTTTGATCATAAAAACTTCAAGAATTTTATATCCTTCTTCCAAATAAAAGTTAATGAATTTTTTTTTTTGTTTTTTAAGGTTCATCTAGTAAAGGATTCATGCTGTATGACTAGAGAATAATTATCTCTGGTTTTTCCATCCATGAAGTTTGTGCTTTGCTCTCTGTTTTAACTTTCATATTTTATCCTTTTTATTTGTTAATTTTAGGGTTAATCTTTAGTTTTGTTAGTTTCTACAGTTTAAGTATCTCTTATTGAAATGAATGTGGTCAAAGGATATTTCTGTATTAGAAATGAATATAGCTGTTTGTTTTGAGCATAGTTACATGTGTTACAAGACAGTCTGGTTAATTTGAAATCATTCTGGACAAAATTCTATAGTGAATCACCAGAAGAATGACTTGTGAATTCATAGAATTCTATTTCTGATCATTACAAATGAGAATAGGATCAGTAAGAAAATGTTTCAGTTTTAATTGTCCTTTTTATTTTTTTTTTTAAATGGCATTGCTAGGTTGGAAAAATAAGCAGATTTTGCCAAGGACTCCCCTGATATCCTTGTGACTTAAATGGCGATAGCAGCAGCATGCTAATGAAGCTTAATGTTTGAAAGTCTACAAGATTTATTTTAATGGCAAGTCACAGGGATCTGTATTTGAGCTTGTATTCCTCAACATTTTGCATGAATGCTTTGATAGTGATTGTTACAATTTCTGACAAAAATATTATTTTATTCTTCTATAACAGGTGACCAGAAATGGAGAAAAAAGTAAGCAGAATCTCGCTTGCTTCTGAACCTGACATAATTCATTTTCTACAAATCACTTGGGAGAAAAGTCTAGGATCTGGTTTTGTTATTACACTCACTGATGGTCAGTCAGTGTGGACTGGGACAGGTAATATTAAAATTAAATTTCTTAAAAGTAAAATTTTGATAATGTGCTATGCTTTAGCCTTCAATGTTATAGCCACTAAATTGTATATTTTTTTAAAAAATATTTTATTTGTTTGTTTGTTTATGCATATAAGACCAGGGGTGTAGGCCAAAGGTACAGGGAGTGAGAGTATTCAACAGAGACAGAGTGGGGAGCAGAATAGGCAGATCCACTGAAATACACTGCTGAAGAGCGCAGTGGGTGAGTTTGGAAAGGTTTCTGTACCATGTGGGTTGGTTCCCTGGCTGGGATCAAACTCCTGCTGCTGTGATTGCTGATAGCTTCACAGTGCCAAGACTTAATCCCTTGCACCACCAGGAGGCCCCTTAAATTGTTTCTTTAAAAAGATAATTGAGAAAAATTAAAATATGGCTTTTTCTTGTTAATGCTATTTAACTGTATGTAGATTTCTAATATTTAGTGTATTCTCCTCTGATTAATATTAGTATCAGGATAGAGAAACAGACTTGTGCCCAAGCAAACTCTTGTTTCCATTTGTAAGTCAATGTACTAAAACATGGACCTGATCAGAGTTTTAAAGTGATCTCTTTATACAAAACATAAATCATACTTTTACATATATCTTTTCATAGGACTCCTGGGACATATTAGGAGGCACAGAGAGGTGGTTTGACTGGGCCAAGGGTTTGTGTTGGCTTGAGTGGTGCTTTTCTTTTTATTTCACAGACATAAATTGTTTGAATTATTTTCCAGTGACCGTGTACTAAATTTGTAACAAAATGAAATAGAACTTAGTTGAAAACTTTGTAAAGCAAGATTCAAATCCATATGGGGGATTTTGACTATGATTTTATGGAATAGAATTTTGATTTTTTAATCTTTGTTGACATCTTTTAAAATGACTTAATAACTGTGGCCTCCCTCGTGGCTAGGGGTTAAGTTTC